AGTAACCTCCTTCCTTAATTTTTTTCAATAGCCACCTCCAGAGTTTTATCTCACTCCATCGATTAACTTAATTAAAACGAAAGCGAAGAAATGAACGGGCAAAGATAATGTCGAACATTGGATCACGGCGGAGGACGATTAAATTCAAAAGTTCGAAAAGTCGTAACCGATGGTAATTGGAAAGTTTTAATTTATTAAGCAGCGAGAGTTAATCCTTGTTTTTGACTCTTTGAAGACGCGGGATAAATATCCCTAATCCTTTCAGTTTCGCTTTTTCAGTTTCTTTCATCGAGAATCGGCAAGAATGTATCGCGCTAACGGTTGATCTGTTTGGTTATTGGTCGATCACCAGCAGATTGTCCTGATTTTACCGCTTTAGATAGTATAAAACATAGTATACAGGGTTATTCAAAAGTCACGCACCACTGGCCACAAGGGGGGGGGGGGGCCATTTGAAATTTTTTAGTTGCTCCCCACCCCCTTCCCCCGAGGGGATCAAAAACAGGGAAGTACCTAAAAAGTTTCCCCCTCGATATGAGAAAGAACGTCTTAAACCGCAAGTCGATATCATAATTAGAACTAAAGTTATGGCCAGTGGTGCGTGACTTTTGAATAACCCTGTATAAGTTGTTGCAGAAATCTTTCATGGTACGGAGAGAGATGGGTCGGTGAATTTAGATGCGAATATTTTCCTCCGCATCACGGAGAGGGCCAGTGTTTTATTACGTGTGCACACCTTGCCACACAATAAACAAGAATATTTCATTTCTGCATGTGTTTTTAAGTGCCTTTTCATACAGATTACTAAACAACGTAAAGGTCAAGCCGAGTTTAGGCATAAAATCAATCAGCATCGGCATGCAGGCGATTTTTCGAACTAATCGTAAAAATCATCATCTTTAAAATTACACAACACACGACATCAAAACACATCCAACACTGGAAAAAAAAGTCGCATGGATCTAGAGTCCAGACTCTTAAAAACATTTGACAACAAAAAGTACTTTTGTTTCAATCGGAGTTATGCTTGAATCAGAAGGAAATCCTCTTAAATCAAAAGGCTTTGCTCTTCGATTCAAGGAAAAATCCAATTGGGATAAGAATATTTTTTCTTGTCAATTTTATTAAGAGTATAGACTCTAGATCCAAGCGACTTTTTTTTCCAGTAAATCATCTTGACTGATTTTTTCGCTGATCATCCGCCAAAATCAGACGAGGCGCCGCGACGGTTCTAGTGTTGTAATACGGCACATTATTCGAGTTAATTTGGCAACGTCGGGATGCGGTTTGGCCCTTTTACCCAGAACTTCTAATTAATAATCTCTGGCCAGCAATGACGGGTCGAGCTCGGGCCGGCGGTTTTGAAGTAGAGAATTCGGCATGAAAACCAAAGTATTCTCGAAAATCAACTATGACCACCGGCGAGCGGAATCGATGACAATTTAGTTATTTCGCCCATTCCGTCCACCGATCCTAACCGAGCTTGCAACACAAAATTTCCAATTTCCACCCGCATTTTTGAGCTATTGATTAAAATATTTCGACCACAGTTCCAGCCTAATTCCCTGCTTTTCGGGTTTGCCTTTTTCGATTTCAACATTTTCTGCATATCGCGAGCAAAGAGAAAACAAGGGCCGCAATTTGAAATACGGGACGAGTGGTATCCCCTACTTTTACTGTCTTGCCAAGGAAAAACGCCCTATGAACCTCCATGCGTTGCCAAATTTCCTTTAATAAAATGCGAATTTATGGGGGAAATTTTAAATATTTTTCTTCTGATTTATCAGACTATTTTGTTCGCAATTTATTCTAAAATATCTAATAATTTTAAGGATAAACATGCAAACATTTCGTCAAAAATACATGTTTTATCCGGGGAAATTTGGCAACTCTCGAATGTTCATACGACGTTCTACCTTAGCACGACAGTCTACGAGTCGTCTCTGGTTGGCCATTCAGCCTCGTGCTAACTTTCTGTGGCCCTCATGGAAAATAACACGGGGTTCATGTTTCATCGAAATTATCTCAGGAACAGTGTGAAATTGATGCGTCGGAGACTTCAGATACGACCTCCAGATTTTTGTGAAGAGATTGATGGGTAATACATGACACCATGAGTCATATTTGGACCGCGTTGAGAAGAAAGGAACTCAGCTACATCGACCATCGCCTTTACTTAGTTAATTCAATTTTTTACATGAAAACTGTTCTGCGGGTTTTTGCAATTTCAAGTGAATTTTCTGCATATTGCAAAAAAATTTCCTTAAAATTTTAAAGGGATCCGCAGAAACGTTATTTCGCGAAAGGATAAATTGCCCAGTTAAATGTGGCAATAATTGATGAACTTGGTTCCTTTCTGCTTAGCGCGGTCCATTTCAAGTCGAATAACCAAATTCCAGGTCAAATTGTTCGGTGTGTTTGAGAAAAAAGTGTTATGTATTACCCTTCAACCTATTTAGGTAAATTTTGAGAATCAATTTCTGAAATCTCCAACGAATGTGTTCCTTGCGTTTGAGATGTAACTGATGAAAAATGAACCCCACGTTTTTCCCATAGGGGCCTCAGATAGTGGGCACCAGACGGATCAGCCAATGAGAGACGACTCGTAAAAGTAGCGGGTATGTAACTCGCCCGTAGCAAAAATTGCGGCTCTTGTTATATCTTTGATCGTGAGCTTCAAGCACCAGGAAAAACAACGTACTACTATACGTATAATTAGCATTTATAGGCGCGCTTCTGATAGAAGTATGATGGGGAATGGTAAGTTATGAATACTCGCAGATAATTCTAAATCTCAAAATATCAATTCAGAGAAGTTTGGCATATTAGTGTGACTAATTGTGTGTTTAGACGTGTTTTCGGCTTCTTTTTTCCTCTCAATTTCTTCCTTTTGGTGACAGTGCCTCAGTTCTGATCAACGGGCATCGACCAAAAGTAATGTTAATTAAGGAAATCGGGACAAAGTTATTCAATTATTAAGCAAATAAAGTTTTTAGTTAATTTAAATATTAGCGATTTTATTCCTAATTTAAGTGTGCTTTCCTTGTTTTTTAGCCTCATTTTATTCGACATTTCTAAACGAGTAATTTTCCACTATAAAGCCTGAATTTTGAGGATCAAATCCTCCATGCAGATTGCCCTTTAGTAATCGTTGATTTAAGTTATCGCTCGAAATATGAATTTTTTACTGCTTCATGAAAATCAGAAACATTCCAGTACGCAAAATGAGTTAAGACTCACTTAACTGACGTGCAAAAACCACTTAAGGGCAAGCACTACCAAGTGGTAAGTAAAAGTGGATTCAGATTTTCTAGGACCAATTTTTATAAGCAATCGGTCTATATTTTCTGTAAACACGACTGCATGCTATCTCGGCTCCAATTTTACCAAAACAACTCTCCCGATTTTTCAATAATTCTCTACTAGAAGAGAATCAACTCTTATATACATAAGAAGAAGAAACAGTTTCAAGATATTTCTCAATGTTTTTCAAAGGAAGATTTCACTTAATGCTTTTTCATGTTCAACGTCGTTGTCATAAGCGTATTACTAGTATTATTGAAGTTCGCAAATTGATCCAATAATTAATGACTGTTTAAAACTTTACCAAAAGTACGCTAGTTAACGTTGAACAACAGTTCGTTGGCGAGAAACGTTGAAAATCATATTTTCCCGTCATTTTTAATTTTTTACAGATCGAATGCCATTATAATTTTTGAGCCATGCCCACAAAATGAATTTGAATATTACGATGCGAATGTAATGATCCTTGTCAACTATGTAGTTGTTTTTCGTCGCGTTCATCATAATCTCAGAAGACACTGATTTCGTCACGACAATCCTAAAATTAGTGTTCTGAGTATTTCCTAATATTTTTTCATCCCAGGATTAATTTTGATTCCCAGCTTGTTGTGGAATCATGGGAAACGTGTAAATTTATTTATTTTAAATTCAGATTAATCCACGACCACGAGTGTATTAAACGCGCAAGAGTGATATTCCAGGGTGTCTAGCATCAGGAAAAACCGGATAATATCAGGAATTTTGGCCGATCAGGAAAATATCAGAAAATTCCGAGAATCGGACGTTTTATCAGGAATTTTTCTTACGCAAATCTCGTCAGCGGAGACAGTCTAACTGCTATTTGCCTACCGTGCCAGGATTCGAGAAAAATCAGGAAAATATCAGGAATTTTCAAAATGAAAAAATCAGGAATTTTTTTAAAAATATTAGGGACAATTAGGAAAATATCAGGATTTTTCTAAACTATAAAGACTAGACACTCTGTATTCGCCTTATTATTCTCGGTATCCCCTAACTTTTTTCATGGAAGTGAATATTAGTACGGATTTTTTTTATAACTAAAATTAATGCTGATTTTCAGTTTTACAGCTACACTGAAAAAAACGTTACGATCTCTGTAGACACAATTCCGTTCTAGGCTCTGAGACCGAAAGTCCCGGATGTTGGAGCTGTAGCCTCGACTGCACCGAGTTCTACGCCCGGAACTTTCGGGCTCTGAGCCCGAACGCGGTTGGTGTGTCTATATAGCCCGCAAGTACGACTTCCACGAGCGGACTTCTTTCTTTCAGTGTAGAATAATCTATATTTTATACTTTATATATATCATCACTGGAAAAAACACATTGGATCTAAAATCCAGACTCTTGAAAACATTGATAAGAAAAAATACTCTTGATTTTATCGGATTTTTGCTTAAATCAAAACGAAATCCGCTTAAATTAAGAGGCTTGGTTCTTGATTTAAGCTAAATTCTGATTGAATCAAGAGTACTTTTTCTTGTCGATGTTTCTAAGAGTCTGGACTCTAAATCCAATGTGTTTTTTTCCCAGTGATTGAATACCAATTAATGCGGTAATTAACGAAGACTCCGGGTGAAGAGGCTCACCTTTTTGTGCTCATCATCCTTTAATTTTTTTCATCGTCCAGGTACACTTTAAGCGTCGGTAAGGGTAATTATCCACTTTGAAAAAATACATGAATCCAAATCGAACACCAACGGAAACGCACTGACGCACACACACACGCCGCGCACCGGTTCGACCGCGGTGGCGTTTCTCCGGTTCGACGACGCGTTTCCGGTTCCGGCTCCCGAACTTCCGGCGGAAGATTCGACGTCCTCGGCGACGTAACGGCGTGAGCGCGGGCCACGTGGGCCGGAGAAGCGCGGAAAGGGTGAACTGAACCTCGCCGTGGCCGACGGTACCGCGGGCCCGCTGCGCCGTGCACCTCCTCGCCCTTTTCCACACACCGACCCTGCTACCCTACCCCCCCCCCCCCCCCCNNAAAGACCCCGACCCGCCTAACTGCGGCGTTATATTCGGCATGATTTCGGATGAAGCCAGGTTAGCGATAATAGAGAAACAACTTAAAACGGGACTAAAGCCGCAAATAATAAAAAGAAACACCTAAAATAAAATAAGAAACCCGGGACGTTTCACAGGGATCTCACCCGCATTTTTAACCGGCAAAACAAGGAAAAGTAAAAGACAGGACACTTTGAGCCTCACCGTTGTTATTGCGAGACTCAAACCAATTTGGTGCCGATAATCATATATGGCACCTGATATTCAAACAAGCTAAAAATGGGGGAAACAAATTTAGTGTGTCCAACTACCTGCATGATGTTAACACAATAAGAAAAATATAAAAATACATTTCACAAAAAAAAAAAGCAACGGATGTTTCGACCCTAAANATACATACATACATACATACATACATACATATATATATACATACATATATACATACATATATATATACACATGAATTTGAATAGCATATATTTTCGTGATCTACGACCCGTGATCGGTGCTCTTCACAATGTCTCAGGTCTGGGTCCGACATCATGGGAGAATGCAATAGTGTATTTCCTTCGGAAAATACACTAAAAAGCAACGGATGTTTCGACCCTAAAGCGTCCAGCCCACCTACAAACTAGGGGCCTCAAAGAGGCTCATCGATGGAACTGTTGACTGTTGCCTTTCAAAGATCGTCGGGCCGACGATCTTTGAGGGTAACCGATGTGTTCCGGATACATCACAGATCAGATCTTGAAATTTTCAAGGCATTCCGTGCAGAAATGGCTGAGAAATAGAAGAATTATTAGTGCCAGTTTGAGAGCCCCAGCTTGTACGTGGGCTGGACGCTTAAGGACTAGGGTCTTCTTTTGTGCAGCAACAAAAAATTGGGAGCATTTTAACAAAGAAGAAGGATGCACGATTGAAGCAGAAACTGCGCAGTAATCTAGAAATACTATAAAGCGACCTAGAAACAATATATAATAAATTGCAACACAGTGAATTATATTTTGGCTTATATCATGCAGAGAAAAATTTTCAAATGGGTAACTCACTTGCACGTTTTAACATTCTTTTTTGCAGACGCGTTTCGGGCATCGGCCCATCATCAATGCTAGATCGCGACTGATTTATCTCGTAGCCTTGATCCTATGTCGAACATCCGTGTTGTCTCTTAGAGCATGGTTGTTATGTTTTGCGGTTTTCTGGATGGCTGTAATTAAGGAAGTTGTTAGAAGTGGAAATAATCAATGATAAATTTGAGTACAGAATACTCTTAGAGACAACCTGTTCTATAACACCTCGTGTGCCTTTCAATAGTTTCAAAATTATACCGTTCCCACTTTCGAATGAGAATGCAGAAGAAGTACACAAGGGGCCCCTAAAAGCAACAGCACGCGCAAGATGTTTACAAAGATAAACATTAAATCGCATGTTCTCTTCTCAATATAAATCCTTAAATTTAAGAACAAACTCTTGCAATAATGTATCAGCCTCCCTCAGCTCACTTACAGAGATTTTTTCTTGAAGTAATAAATACATAGCAGAGATGAACAGACAAAAATGAGCCAGATATTTGTCATCAAGTATGCCGTCTAAACACAGGTAACTATAGTACAACATATGAGACCGCCACTCATTTGGAAGGAAGTTCGAGGTGAAAAATTTAGGTTGAAACACTTTTCCTTGTTCTTTCGGATGAAAATGTATTCCCAAACATCCAGTTTTTGGCTTTCCTTTACTTCTTTCGACAAACAGGGATTGAAGTCAATATCATGTTTGGTAGACCAAAAATGCTCTGCAACTGCTGACTTTTCTTTAGACTGGTTCTCTCCTCAATTATTTCTTGTGCGGTAAAAGCTCCCCTCAAAAGTATTATATCGTGTGTCATGTCTTTAACAGCTTAGCCAGCCACATTTAACATTAAAATTTATCGATGATCTTTGATAGGGGACGACATTACTGGCACACGCACTGAATTGAATACATTGCCGGATAAATGGGGAATTGGGCACAAAACAAGTTTTTAAATAATTGCATTCGAACATTTAATTTGTTTCCGTAGATATCTAAGTGACGAAATCGCGCAACCTATGGTCAATTTATTATATTCCATGATTTCGGATGCATCCAGGGTATACCGATGATCTTCAGTAGAGGGTGAAATTACCGGCATGTGTACTAAATTGAATACATTACTGGAAAAAGGAGAAATGGGTTCAAAGCAAGTTTTCAAGAAAAATCCAGTTTGAAAGTTTAATTTGTTCCATAGTGATCAGACTCCGCAACCTCCGGTTAATCTCAAAGTTGAATGCTATATAAGCCGGAAGAATTCAGTTGGAAAATAAACGTTTTTTTTATGTTAACGCTGGTTTAGGTTAGTTTGTTGAATCAACCCTGATGACCTTCTGATGACCTTCTGATGAAAATTGAAGTGTGGAGATTGAATAATGGTCGTGGGTTTAAAGAACTTTCCTCACTTTTCATGTGAATAAAGATCAAATCGGGAGGAACGAGGCAACTTTGGAATGCTCTTGCTCATACGGATTCGAAACACAGCATCGGCCTTTTAAGTTCAATTATTCGATGCCTCGATGATTCCAACGCGATTTCAAATAATCTCGCCAAACACAGTGCGGCCGGCGTCAAACGTATATTAGCGCCTGCAAGACTCTAGGAATACTTCACGCATTGCGCCAAACAGTGCGGTCGGCGTTAAGCCCATGCTAGGGCCTACAAGACTGCACGAATACTTCTTGCAGTGCGCCAAACGCAGTGCTGTTGGTTAGTTGACGTGAAACGGGAGAGAAAGAGAAGGAATGCTGTAGGACTGCGTGTCAACATTCTTGACGTTCTGCTCCAGTGTTTACTTTAAATAAAGGGAAAATATGTATCCTCATTCTAACGATTTAAAAACTTGGATGAAATTTATATTTTTTTGTTCCATTAAAAGAATATAGAACGATCGAAAATATTGATTCTGATACATGGTTCACGTACCCAGAATTTCACGTGAAACACGATTTTTGCATCGAAAATCACTGAAATTATTTCCTATCTAGGATATTTACGGTTTTTTTTCTTTTTTTTTTTTTTTCACATTGGTTGATCGGGCAATTAAAATTGCCCGATCACAGGAAACTCAATACTCCACGTGAGTCCAATCGCGTACTCCAACGGTTTAGGCAGGCTTCTCAATCCAGCACATTTCCCACCTTGTGTTGTCAAAACTGTAAACAACTTATCACAGCTGAACCAAAGCGTCAAGATTGAGGTTGCTAGATTTGCATATCGCAGATAGTGTCATGGTAATTTCAAGTGTGCGATTTGACTCACGTGGACCATTGAGTTTTCATGAGCGGGAGGTTTGAATTCACGCGTCAAGGAACATTAAATGTATTGGTTAGGAATTAATTTCAGTAATTTTCGTAGCGCGAATTGTGTTCTACGTTAAATTTTGGTATCAGAATGCTTATTTTTGTACCTCGTCTAGTGGTCCACTATCGATTTCGGAGCATTTTTTCAATTATCGATCTTGGGGTATTTTTGCGCTTACCTTTCTCACCCATATCTGATAGGCAAGGTTTCTTGCATCAGGATCATCCCGATTTTCCCGATTCCATGAGGATTTGAGGTCAATCAGGATTTGAGGAAAAATCGGTCGTGAAGTCAGGATTTGAGAAAAGTTGACCGTTCGATCGGATTTTTTTATGCTTTCGCATACGCTCATGCAGAAATTTTAATTTTTCTCCGCAAAAAATCAGGATTTAATCAGGATTTGGAAGAATTATTAAATCAGGATTTAGCAGTCAGAAATCAGTAAAAATCAGTATTTCCCAAAATGAAGAAAAAATTTGACACCCTGGTAGGGACATGTTGACGGTTGTCTCCTAATTTCTTGAATGCTTCATCGTTACCTCACCCTATTTCCCGTCACTCTGGATCCCAGAATCTACGGATCCACGTTCTACGTGAAATTTTGGCTACGAAACATGTATCAGAATGCCTAATTTTGTACCTCGTCTGGTTGATGGTCATTTGCACACATTTTGTGCAAATGACCAACAAAAAGCGGGCATTTGCATCAAAAAAAGGAATGGTCATTTGCACAAATTGCACGATGCGGCAACACAGCATGTTAGATGATTGAAAAATACCAACTTTTTCAAGTTTTTTGTGGCGGATTTTCAACTTAATGTAGGTCTCCGCTTGGAGTTCAATTAGGTTTTCGGTTACCAAGTAAACAGAGGGGCCCTTGCGGTAAAAAAGCATCTTGAAGTGCCTGTAAAATATTTCAGCACCATTTGATGTTCTCAGCGTTGTGTCATCGTCTACCGGTTCCGCAGCCCAAAGGGTGGGAGGGAAAGATGCATCAAGCCTTATGACCGCACAACACACCTAAATTATTTATTGCCATCTTTTAAATTTCTTTGACAACCGTACACATGGTTTTCGGTTATCACGGTCACCTTGTTTTATGTAGTTTCTGAAATACGAAAAGCCGTGTTACGCGGCCAGAGGATGACTGAGTGGATACTGAGTAACAGCGCTATTAGTCGAACGCAACGTCTTCATAATTGTCACCTGACCGTTGCCATTTTCTACCAAAAATACATAATTATGTATACTTGTGCAAATGTCAGTATTTTGAGGAAAACAAAAATTTGTGCAAATGACCTGCAACGCCTCGGCTAGTGGTTCATTATTGATTTCGGAGTATTTTTGCAATTATCGATTTTGGGGCATTTTTGCGCCTACCTCTGTCACTCATATCTGATGGGGCAATGTTGGGGGTTGTCGTCTAATTTCTTGAATGCCTCATCGATACCTCCCCCTCCTTCCCACCACTCGGGCTCCCAGTATCAACAGATCCGCAAATTATGGCGCGTGTCGATGGCCGGGCTCAAGCTCCGCAACTCGATTATGAGTGAGTAAAGCAAGACAAGGGCGGTTTGC